CCCCAAAACCCCAAAACCCCAAAACCCCATGATCTTAAAGTAGTCATAATTCGTAAGAGTTCATCTAAGATTATTATTTTTAAATTGATTAACTTTTATTGCGCTAATCCAATTTGTGATGAATAATTCTAAGAATTAATACAGCAAGAATGCTAATCCGACCAATTAGTATAGAGAATCAACTTTCAATAAATTAAGCAAAAGGATAATGAAATCTAAAAATAAGAAATAGCTCGGATCAAGACTTATTAAACACTAAACATTAGACAAAGGAAAGTTAAATAATTAACAATCTAAAATGACTCTTAAGTAGAATAAAACATCTGAATTAAATATTGAGGAAGCTCATGAAATTAATAATAAACTTAGAGGTATTGTTTCAAATGATTTGATATTTGAGGGAACTAGAATGGAAAAGGAAAAAGTTGGATAACTCAATAAGCTATTTCAGTCCTTTGATAATTAAACTAAAATGTTCCACTAAACTTAAACAAACAATAAGCAATACTAAGTATCCAAAAGACTTATGATTTCAACCACTAGCTCTCAGAGTAATTTCTAATCTGATTGTTATCAAAATGACTATTAGGAAAATTATTATACAGAATAAAAATGTTAGTCAGGCACTTAAGATTAAAATTTAGAAAAGATAAACTCTCTAATTTAACCTCATAAAAATTAATCCAGCAAAGTTGAGTCTCAACATGAATAATATTAAGATAATCAATTGAGTCAAGATTTCTGTTAGTTTGATGATTATATTTCTGATGCTAAGGATATTTCCCCTAAGTTAGTCAGGAAAAGTCTAAACCATGGCAAAAGTATGCACAAAAATTAATTATCAAATTGCTAAAATATGAGCTATAAATCTCAATCTTTTGTCAACAATCATAATTATCGATAAGTTGATGCCCAGACTCCTTATTTTAATTAGTTCGACAATAATGAAATATAAAACAATAAAATAAACTAAGATTCTTCTTACTTATAAGAACTTTCCCTATTTAGTTTAAAAAATGTATTGAATTCTATAGAAGACTAGTCTTAATAAAAATCATAATCTCAAAAAGTTAATTAAATACTCAATAGGGATCCGGATAACAATTTATAAAGTCACAATTCCAGAAATGGAAAAGAGGAAAGTAATGATGTTTGATAAAAATTCAATATATTATAGAAATAGTGCAACCAGTAGAATTAAATGATCAGTATATTCAATACTTTACTCGAACCTTCAATAACTAATGAAAGAAATGAATATCTTGATGATGCTGATCAATGCTATTTTAATGAGAATTTTGAAGATTATAAATTCATAGAAAGAAAAATCGATTTTCTTTTAGACTTGAATCAATAAATACAGAATAGCGTTTTTGCTTTCAAGAATTCGCTGAAGGAATATAATATTCAAAGAAATGATGCACTAGAGAGATTAGCTGAACTTAAGATGATAGAAAAGCAAAAATCTATTCAGGATCTAAGAATGTATGTAATTAACAATCATGAGGATGATGAGCTCATAGGAATGGTCTAAGATATGATTAATAATATTTCACAAGAAAGCACAAAAATTAGCAAGAGCAAAGTTAGTGGGATAGTCTACAATAACTAGCAATTTAAAGTTTAATTGACAATTGAAAAAGTAGGGGATAATTTATTTACGAAACTCTTTTATATTCATATGAGATGGGGTTTTGGGGTTTTGGGGTT